TAACAATTGAAATATAAGTAAGCACTCAAAATTAATTTTTCACTTGATTGTTTGTTTCTTTTTATGTAAGGAAAAAATGCTGCTTAAGCGTGGAGGTAAAGATCCGGCCGATTTTATACGACGAATGCTTATGAGTGTTTTTGCACCCGAATTGGCACTTGGAGTCTCGTGGTTGGGGAGGAAGAAAAACAATAGACTCGAAGGGACAATATTCGCACGTATATTATTTGGTAAATATCTTTTTCTGGTTTATTCCCACACAGACATCCATCCATCCAGACATCCATTAGACATCTATTAGATGTCGCATGGAGCTATCGACGTCTAATAGACGTCTAATNGAGTTTTTGTTCCGTGTGGGTTTACTTGCCACTGTTATTAAAGTAGGTTTTTTATTTGTTACATTAAAACTTTCCTTTCCAAAACAGATCCTAGTTTATACTTACATGTAAGAAAATACATTATTTAAACCTATAACATTATTATGTGCTGTGCATATGTACGTATTTTTAATACAGTGATTTTTCAATTTACAGCTGCTGTGAAACAACGATATAGGAAGATTGACGATCGGGAAATCGAAACAACGGTTATAGACTGGTTCCGGCGGGCAACTGATCGCCTAAAAAAACAAGCTAATATTACTAATGCGGCTCAATAGTATGTATGTAAATAATAATCCACTAATAAAAAAAGAAAATAGAAACCGTTGATATTACTTATGATTTACACGACACTGGGTTCTAAAATGTCAAGAAAAGTTTATTAAGTAACCGATTATTAGTTGTAAATATAATGTCAAACGACCAATAAAATGAGCAATAAAAAGTACTGTAATATTATATATATGCATTTTTTCTGATGACAATTCCACGATTCGGACCTTGTTTAGTAAAAACTTATATTTTCAGTAAAAATAGTAGTAAAAGAAAATACATATTCACATTTCACTTATATTCTTGTGTGACAAGTATTATTGTAGAATATTTATTACCTTTTAACACTATTTTTACTGACATGAATATAATTTTTTATTAAACAAACGTCTAGAAGAAATTTATTTTACGTCCTGCAACAACATACTAACAATGTCTTAACAACATATTATTGACGTACTAATAACGTACGAACAACGTACGAATGACGTACGAACGACATCAAAGGGCGGTACATTGTACGTACAAACGACGTCTACCGAACGCCCTCGAGATATTTGTGGTACGTCATCTAGACGTCCATCGGACGTCAAATTGTTGTGTGGGTACTTTGATTACCTCAGCTGTATAGAACCAGAGTGCAGGATCTCATGCAAATAATATGGCAATATGTTTTTTCTAAACGTTTTGACCGTATTTATTGGGTCATTTTCAGTAGGTATACTGTAATATAATAATATAATATTTGGCTTACAATTAAATAAGATGTTAGAATTGTTAATTTAAAACTGCAAATAGAATCTTACGGACAATAACACTGGAGGTCACTAATTTAAAATTGCGTCAACGCACCGCAAAATATGTTTTTTTATGTATGTAAGCAGCTTCAAGATTTTTTAAAAAACATAAAGGTGTTGATAATAGCTGTTGAAGCAAACACGGATGCTCATGTGTATATGATTGAATCAATTTATTGAAAACAATGTATAAAACGTTTTTGACTTCTGTATTAGGTTTTTCTCAATGTAATTATAATTCTCTAAAAGAATACATTAATATATTCTACAAAACAATAATAATTTAATATAGAAATTCGTAGTGATAATACAATAAAGTTAATTAAGAAACTTACAAAACAAAGTAGTAATGGTCATCACATGAGTGTCGCACTGAGTGTTCATGATGTAGGAACAGGACTTGATCACCACTTTACAAAGTAACAAAGCGACTGAAAACACCGAACAAGTGTGTGTCTCGATTTCAATAGAAGTCAAGGCCGCAATCAACGATCATGAGACACATTTCAGTTAACGTGTGTTATCGACAAAAGGTAAATAAGATTTATCTAGATTTTCGGTGTCACTATGTAAATTAAGACCGCGGATTTCACTTCTTATGTATAGAGTTTCTGATATCAGACGTTTTGTTATAAGATCTCTTGCTATCCAATATTTTGACGTTATCCCATTCAAATTCGTGAGAGTTGGATTCTGTGATCAGTAATTACAGATCTTTGAAAGGAGTTCTATTGATATAGTTTTTGTGTTCTTTAATTCTCGCTTGCAACATTCTGCCAGTTTGTCCGACATATGATGCATCACAATATATATCACGGTAATTTATCTTATATACAACAGAAGGACACGGATGGAGGTAGAGAATCCTTGAGAACATTGATGAATTTAGACACTTTGTCAATAAGATTCGTGATATGTCCTCAGGTTCGAGTTAAAATTAAATAATGAGATTGGAAGTTGGGCAGTTTGAACCAGTAGCAAGGTGTTTTGCAATGAATAATCTTCTAATAAATTGTGTTTAAATCCAAACGGTTCGGCTTTATTTTATAGCCATCATCAGTGGATTACACTAATTACAGAAAGTACATTGAATATAAATGCTGTCTCAATAACAATTGCAGGTCAATTATCATATTGCTTACTGAAATTTAAATCAAGTCAACAAATTTATCAAAGCACATAAAGATTTCATTCCAGTTGAGGAGAGAAAGAATGTAGTTTATAACATAACTTGCAATTCGTGTGAAGCGGATTATGTTGGACAAACGAAAAGAAAATTAAAGACAAGAATAAAGAAACATAAACAATATGTAAAATCAAAGCGGCAATCTTCTGTAATTTTCGAACACTGTCTTAACTCCAATCACATTTTTAATTTTGATATAACAAAAATTTTAGACAATGAATCACATTATTATAAGCGTATAATTTTAGAAATGTTACATATTAAAATCCACCGTAACAGCCTGAATATAATGAGTGACACTGAACTCTTAGACGAAGTATATTTATCAATCATCGATAAATTTGATCGTTAATTTCCATTAATATATACAAATGGAGCCGTTTTTACGCACATGTTTTGATATATTGTTGCGCACTTTTCTCTTGACTTCAGTTTCAGTGGTGAAGAAACTCTCTTTATAACAACGACTTAGAGCTTTTTATTATTTATCTTTTAAAAAATTTTTTGACTTTTAAAACAAGAACTACATTGTCAACTACTCATACCAAGAGGATTGTTTAAAAATACACACCAAAATTTATTTTTCTTATTTCATCCCTGCAATTGTTGCAAGACAGCATTTACATTCAATGTACTTTTTGTAATTAGTGTAATCCACTGATGATGGCTATAAAATAAAGCCGAAACGTTTAAATTTAAACACAATTTATTAGAATATTATTCATTGCAAAACACCTTGCTACTGATTCAAACTGCCCAATTTCCAATCTCATTATGTAATTCGTCAATATTATAAAAAGCTGAGCAAGTATTAGAGTCTTTTGGAAATATTTTTAAAAATTTTTTAAAAAAATTATTTAATATAAGGCATCACAAACCAATAAAGCTGTATATCATTTGAAGTACTGTTTGACAAAAATCTTTCTAAGTCATTATTTAAAAAAAATTATGTTTTAATCTCTGTATAAAAATGTCATAGATGAAGTCACGTTCATTAACCTTACCAATACCTATATCCCTACCGAAGTCATGAGTTTGTTACAATTAGGCGAGAATTTTTGTCTTCCGCCGGACAATAATTCCAAATTAACATTTGAACTGATAAAGAATTTTGAAAATAATATTAAACATTTAAATAACAACAATAAAATAGAATGTCGTAACCGGTTTGTTTCTATTCTTAAACAAATGAGAGTCTCTAAATTTACCAAATCTATACATGACGAGGAAATTGACCATGCTCTAAAACTCACTCGTCATTTTATCAAAAGTCATCCTTCTATCGCATTTACAAGAGTCGACAAGGGAAATGCGGTAGCCGCCATAGATAAAGACTCTTATACGCGTCAAATGGAAAAGATGCTTTCTGATACACATACGCTCTTGTCAAAAAGAATAGAATTCAAATCTTTTATAATAAGTTCTCTCAAAGACATGTTAAAAAGATGGAAGTCTCGCGATCACATCACGGAGCTCACTTACAAAAATCTAAACACTTCACTCACTATACTTCCCAGAGCCTACGGTGTCCCAAAGATCCATAAACCTGGCAACCAGGATCATTATTTCCTCAATCAATAGTCCGTTACACAATCTTGCAATATTTTTGCATAAAATAATTTCAAAATCCTTGAACCTCCGTCGAGTTTTGTTTATAGTAGTTTCCACCTTGCAAGTTTGATCTCTATTCACTAACCATGCCAATTGATCTTGTAATCAGTAGATTTGAGAAAAGATGGCACTTGATAAAACACAATACAAGCTTACCTAAAGAAGAATTTTTTCTACCACTCTATTTCGTTTTTAACTCCACTTTCTTTCTTTTTATTAACAAATATTACAAACAGACCTTTGGTGCACCCATGGGCTCTCCTCTCTCTCCGATTCTAGCAGACATTGTCATGCAGGATCTTGAACTGTCCATCATTGGTTCTCTATCTCTCATTCTACCTCTACATATCAAATAAATAGATGACATAGCTCTTATGGTTCCTAGAGATCAGTTCGATGTTGTTTTAAATCTTTACAATTCATATCACTCTCGACTTCAATTCATAGAAGTTGGTTGTGATAGACTCAACTTTCTGGACATTACAATTATCAAAAAGAATAATAAATTAATACATGACTGGTATCACAAGTCAACGTTCTCAGGCAGATATCTTACTTATTTTTCAAACCATCCTATCTGCCAAACAAAAGGCACGGTCATCGGCCTCGTGGACAGAGCCTTTTTTTTATCACATCCTAAATTCCATTCTAAAAATTTTGACTTGATTTTTAATATTTTAACTGACAACAATTATTCTCGAGACTTTATCTATGACATTTTTATACAGAGACTAAAACAATTTTTTTTTTAATACAGACTTAGAAAAGTTTCTGTCGAACAAATACTTCAAATTATATACAGCTTTGTTGATTTGTGATGTCTTATATTAAATAATTTTTCTAAAAAATTTTTAAAAATATTTCCAAAAAACTTTAATACTCGCTCAACTTTTTATAATATTGACAATTGTCTAAATTCATCAATGTTCTCAAGGATCCTCTATCTCCATCCACACGTCCTTCTGTTGTATATAAGATAAATTACCGTGATATATATATATATATATATATATATTGTTACGCGGCGGACACCGAGTGCGTGTCACGGGAGCCGTGTGAGCGGCGTGCGCTCGGCGCGACTGTTAGTTGCCGGGCGACCGAAAGGGTTGTTAGAGTTGAACCGCGGCCGTGTTGCTGTCACGTTGCGTTCTGCGCGTACAATCTTGTATATTATAATTGTTAAAAGCTGTAATAAAATGCTTTCATTAAGAAGCCGCGTCTCTCTCATTCTCGCGAACGTGTGCGCGAATCGCGGAAAGCGNCAGAAGCGCTGATTCGCCGTCGCGAGCGTAACATTTTGGGGGCTCGTCCGGGATCGAGCTTGAGAGAACAGCGGCATGGCTCTGTTGCATTCGCCGCGGAGAATGCGCAATCAAGTTGCGGCGGGAGCGGCAGAGACGTCGGCGGCGCCGGAGGCGGCGGCGGCAACGTCTGAGAGCGAGACGCTGCGTGCGGTCCTGCGGGAGTTAGAGCAGCTGCGGGAGGAGCGTCGACAGGAAAAGGATTCGTTCCGGCAGAAGGAGCGGGAATTTGGCGATTTCGTGCCAGAGGAGGACATTCGTCGCTTGGAGGAGCAGTTTCGCCGCGGTGCATC